TATGCTAAAATACGTATACGTTAAAGAGATAAATAATTAGGACCAGCAACTAACAAAGGTAAATGTTGGTAGCCCACGCTTACATATAAGGATTGATTAGCAATTGTGATCTTAGTCACTCTGGGTTATTTAGGTAACTTTAGTACTGAAAATAAAGCATTTCAAAGTATATTTGCTACAAATATTAAGTTAAAATTATTTATGAACACTAAGAACAAGTAATATGGCAACCATCTTTTTGGGGCAAGAAAGACTTACAAACCCACTTAGATACACCGTCATAGCACCAAATGAATCAGCCAATGGCAAGGATGTCAAACGCTCACTTTTATGCATACTACCTCCAATGTTCCAATGTCCAGATATGTAGCTCTCTATTATGAACAGGTGAATGTCCACGTCGGTTGAACCTTAGCTTAACAAGAACAGCGATCACTGGCATCTATGCATTAAGCAAAGCTTTCTGTGAGTCAGGATTTCAAGGGCTACCCTTGTTTTGGAGGCAAATCAAAATTAGCTTCCGACTAAGCTGCTCCTTCGAGCGGCATTTATGAAAACCCCTTACACTACAACACTTTCTTTATTACCCTCTTCACACTTGTGCTGGAAATGTTGACCCGAATCTGTCATTTTGTTACCTAGGCCCTCCCTGCGTCCTATTAAAATCTCTGTCTTTCCCCTTAGAATCCTTCGCTATCTCCCTCGTACATGTATTTTACTCGACTACTGCCCCCCCATATGTTATACTTGAGGCGTAAGTCGTCCATTCCCTGCACCTGGCTGATTGATTAGAGGCTAAAGCCTTAGAGTAAGACTCAGCTTCATGCCTTTGAAACATTGAACACGTCTCTTGTAAAACCAACTGTCAGCCAACTAGCTCCAATCGCCGCCTTGATTATCCTGTCTCTATCCCCAATACCAAGTCTATGACTTGCAATGCCCTAGTCGCTTATGCGCCAACCCACAAATGTTGTGGTACGGCTTGCTTTGATTAGATTCAATGTTAAACCACAACGTTTGTGGGTTGGTACACAAAAGACTAGAGTATAGCAAGTCAGAGACTTGGTATTATACATAGAAAGAGGATAGAAACAGTGAAAGCTAGAGCTGGTTGGCTAACAATATTTATGATTCAAGGAGCACGTTTATGGTCAAACACGTCTATTATTAGCCAAATAGCTTTAGTCACCACTGCGTATTTCGTGTTTCTATCTGTAATACGATATCTATCGCTTCCTACGTACTAGTCTCTTGTGTGCCAACCCACAAATTTTGTGGTTCTACTTGTTTTGATTATGCTCACTGAGACGTTTTCTCTTTGCTTCTGATTGTTGCTTTCTCATACCCCTGCGATCTCTTTTCCTAAAATTAAGGATATATGCTAGATCCAGTCGTCTTATTTTTGCTATTCTTGCTGTTGCCCGGTCTTCTTCGAATTTGTTTAGGCAATATGCAAAGTTTTTGCTAATCCTGCCTTCTTCAAGTCTTCTGTTCATAACATCTATCCTGGTCAGTATTTCGATGGCCTCTTGGATCTTGCGTTTTCTTGTACTTCACCACATGCAGCCAATATTTTAGTCCTTTTTTAATCGCTTTCGTGCCCAGTTCGTGCAATGTGTTCCGCAATTTTTGATCTTTTCGTACCCATATTTATACAGAGTCTTTGATTTTCCTTGATTCGTATGCCAGTTTCACCAATATACTTCTGCTTACAGTTGCCGCATTTTATGCGATAAACTCCTGAGCAATCAAGTTCGTCAGTCTTCTCGTGTTGCATTGGCAGACTGGTGAAAAGTATTTTCTTCTCCTTTGTTATCACCCGACATTCCATTTCCTTAATAACGGTCGCAATTGTTCACTCAGCTGTGATGCGGGCACCACCGTCCTAATATAATTATAGTTTTGCATCCATCGTAAAAGTAAATAAAAATTATTCTTCTGCCTTAGTTCTTCATACTTTTATGAAAATTATTTTATTTCACTATTTAAATGGTTTGGTTGATTTTATTAATCGGCTATTCCTTTTATATATATCCATATAAATACAAGGATATAAAATTATTTAATTTTGCTTTAAAAATGCCTATAAAATCGTAAAGATAATAGGTATTATTTACTTATGATTGTAAATTAAATGTGTCATTTCGTTTTTCTTAATCGATCACATACATTCTGTACAGGTGTTAATTCGAGTTTTGATTATACTAATGGATGGTTCGTAATTTTCTTTCTTTTATACAATTCAGCATCTCGTTCTCATAGGCAAATTAGTTCAGCTAAAAGGAACAAGTTAGATCTTATTGCAAAGCTTAAAAATGCTAAAGAAAGAGGGGAACGTTTTTTTGTGGTATTTTCTAATGCCTAATTAATATGTTAAGGAAAAACACGAAGAGAATATCTATGAGACAGTCGATGACCAACGTTATTCTGAAATAGTAAGAGAAAGAATTGAAGATGACTGGATAGTTGACGATGGTAATTGCTCCACAATGCAATGATTATTTTAACTTTTATCATGCCTAATGATTTATTTTAGAGGGCTTCGGATACGCGGAGGATGGCCGCGAAATCTTTGATGATTTTGATGATAATGCGGATCCTCAGCTTATGCGAAAGCATAAAGCCAAGAAGAAACGTTTGAATCCTGATATCCGTCCAGATAGTAGCGAGAATTTTTCTAAGCCTAAGGATATTCGTGACATGTTTTCTGCCCATTCTTCTGCACTTAAAAGCAAGCCAAAATCTGTGACATCTCAAAAGGTATTAATTTTTATTCTTATTTTGTATTCATTGTATTATGTTTCTAAATTTTGCTAAATTTCAGAATACCCATTCTGCGCCAGATCCAAATATAGACGATTTGATTGCTGAATTAGAGCATGAAATTCCTTCTGATTCTTTACAGTATGTAGCACCTCATTGTAATAAGAAATACAAACATCGCAATGAACCAAATTATGTTCCGCATCATCATAGCCCTTTAAATATAGACTCTCCCCATTCTTCAAAAGATCCAGAAAAACTTTCAAAGTGCAACTCTTCGCGTAATCCGTTTAAGCTCAATAGTTCACTGGAGCCAAAAAAAGTCAAAGCAAAATCAGATCGTGCCTCATTTTCTGACGTAGCTCTCGAGGAACCAAGAGAAATAGCCGGTAAGTCATATTTGTGTTTTTATGACAAAACTCCAGTATCTAAGTCATTAGTGTCATAAAATTTCCTTTATTAATGTTATTATCTATTCTGCCTTTTGAGAATTTGCATTCTTAAATAGTTTGTTAAATTATGAATTATTTCGTGGAATTTATACAAATTATATGTTTAGCTTCTTGCTTGCTCTAATTATCTTTACTTACTCTCCTCCTTTGTTGGCCTCGGCTCTTAATCATACTCGTATTTTCCTGTCTATCTAAATTAACTACGGGTTAGATAAATGATCTTCAAGGAAATTAAAGGACTGAAAACCCTATTCCAACAAGCAGAAGGTTTTTCATATCCTTTTCTTTGGCAATTGCTTTATAAGAACTTAATCTCAACATCATAGGCATAGAAGCCGATTATATTGCTTTTATTTGGCCATATATTTACTTATATAGTGTTTAACATTTTACTTTCTGGCATTACCCTTGGTGGTACATGGGTCGCTAAGAATTCACCTTATATTGTTCTATCTTACAGTGTATCCATGCTTTCTTCCATTGGATTTTCGATTGGGTACATTTTGGAATTTTTCAACAAAACTATAGGAGATATGAAGAGAAATTGGGTTTCGATGAATCTCTTGAGATAATATTTTTAGAGGGACTTTCAGTTCGCATGAAAGTGAATGGTCGATCTCACCAGATGAGGACGGATGAATCTCGTTGTAATGCAGCCGTTTGGCTTTTATACGAAATTCATTTTGACGCAGTCCACAAGACTTCCTTCCTCATTAAGGGTGAAAACGTGCTAAGCTTTCTTTCATCATATGATGCACATCATCACAGCTGGGTTTCATTCTTGTAAGAGTCTTACGTTAACACCAGGCTTTCTATTTGGTCATTAAGATCAGAACTTGAGATTAAAACTTTGACAACTCTAATTTAGGAACCGTATTGTGCATAGACGCTAACACGCACAAATACACATACTCATACAATCGAGCAAAAATAACAGGAACAATATGAAAGAAAATTAACCAAACCACTCTATATCTATCTATCTATCTAGGTTCTTAATTTTTAATTTTTTGGCTTAATTGAGTCTATATAATAAGTAAGATAGAGCTGGATAGTGTTCTTGGCCTGGTGTTAACGTGAGGCTCTTACAAGAATGAAACCCAGCTCTGATTATGTTCATCATATGATGAACGAAAGCTCAACACGTTTTCACCCGAAACGAAGGAGGAAGTCTTGTGGACTGCGTCAAAATGAATATCGTATAAAAGCCAAACGGCTGCA